GAAACGCCCACTAGGCAGAATGCACTCAGCCTAGATGGCTGGCTGGGAAGCGCCCATTCAAGTTAATGAACAATTAGGGAGAACAATAGGCCTTAGAAGCAGCTTATCTCCCACTTGGGGAGGGAGGGGCTCCCTGAGGATGCTACAAACAGCCTCTTACTCATGGCTGCTAGGTCACTACAGGCACAAGTGACAGGTCACCGGATACTGGACTCCATCTTGGGATACTAGTGTTTTTCCACTGACTGGTGTGGGAACCAAGCTTTGAAACAAAGGGTTCCCACCATATGCAAAAGCTACATAAGGCAGGGGAGTGACATCACCGTAGTTCTTCACTGACTCCCCGCCCAAAGAGACTCCTGGAAACACCTGAGGAACAAAGACTGAACTGGGGGGAAGTGCTGGATGCCCCAATCTGCTGTCCTGAGCCCCCTCCCGCACCCTAACTCCCTCCCAGAGCCTGCGCCCCGCACCTCCTCCCGCATCCCAATCCCCAGCCTCACACCCCCTCCCGCACCCAAACTCCCTCCCTCTTAGTTAACTGGCATTTTTCACTTACCAGCACCATGCCGGATAAAACAGTTTTTACTGTAGTATATCAAGCTTAGTTTGTGTGTTTTATTTATTTGCTAGGTAATCTTCTTTGATCCGTTTGCTATCCCTTATAATCAATTAAAATGTTTTTGTAGTTAATAAACTTGTTTTTGTTTTGTCTAAAATCAGTGTGTGTGGAAATCATAATTTGGGGCAGAAAGCTGTTGTATATTTCCTCTCCACACTGAGGGAGGAGGCGAATTTTATGAACTTACTCTGTACACATGTACACTCCAGAGAGGAAGTGCATGCCTTAGGAACTGGGAGGTGCCCTAGCTGTGCCCCCCCATGCAGAGCTGATCACAGCTTCTATACGCAACTGGGTGTGTCCCTACCTGTATCTGTGCTGGTGAAGTGCAGGCTGGTGCCTGGGAGAGGGCTTGGCAGGCTGGTCACAGCAGTACAGTGTAAAGAGAGCCCAAGCTGGTGGGTCAGGGGAGTTCAGTGGTACCCCAGTTCCAGGTAGCACCCCGGCGGGGAACCCATCACAGTAATATCTTTTATTGGACCAACGTTTATTGGAGAAAGAGACAAGCTTTCAAGTGCCACAGAGCTCTTCTTGAGGTCTGTGAAAGGTAATCAAAGTGCCACAGCTAAACATAAGATGGAACAGATTGTTAGGCATAACAAAGTACTCTACTTAGGAAGGAACAATCAGTTGCACATATACAAAATGGGAAATGACTGCCTTGGAATGAGTACTGCAGAAAGGAATCTGGGGGTCCTAGTGGATCAAAAGCTAAATATGAGTGAGCAATGTAACACTGTTGCAAAAAAAGCAAACATAATTCTGGGATGTATTAGTGAGAGTATTGTAAGCAAGACATGAGAAGTAATTCTTCTGCTCTGCTCCTCGCTGGTTAGGCTTCAACTGGAGTATTGTGTCTGGTTCTGGGTGCCACATTTCAGGGAAGATGTGGACAAATTGGAGAAAGTCCAGAGAAGAGCAACAAAAATGATTAAAGGTCTAGAAAACATGACCTGTCAGGGAAGACTGAAAAAATTGGGTTTATTTAGTCTGGGGAAGAGAAGACTGAGTGGGGGACATGATAACAGTTTTCAAGTACATAAAAGGTTGTTACAAGCAGGAGGGTTCTCATTAACCTCTGAGGATAGGACAAGAAGCAATGGTCTTAAATTGGAGCAAGGGCAGTTTAAGTTGGACATTAGGAAGAACTTCCTGACTGTCAGGGTGGTTAACCACTGGAATAAATTGCCTATTGGAGATTTTTAAGAGCAGATTAGACAAACACCTGTCAGGGATGGTCTAGATAATAATTAGTCCTGCCATGAGTACAGGGAATTGGACTAGATGAACTCTCAAGGTCCCTTCCAGTCCTACAATTCTATGATGTTAGGAAATACTTTCTAACTGTAAGAGTAGTTAAATTCTGAAGTAGACTTCCAAAGGACATTGTGGAATCCCCATCACTGAAGGTTTTTTAGAACAAGTTAGACAAATACCTGTTAGGAATGGTCTAGATGTATTTGGTCCTACCTCAGCACAGAGGGCTGAACCTGAGGACCTCTTGAGGTTCCTTCCAGCCCTACATTTCCATGGTTAACATACACTAGGGAACTTTTAGGGCATACCAGCAGGGTCCACATAGACCAGTTACCAGTCGGAGAACACTTCAATCTCTCTGGTCACTCGATCTCAGACCTAAAGGTCGCAATATTAGAACAAAAAGACTTCAAAAACAGACTCCAACGAGAGACTGCTGAATTGGAATTAATTTGCAAACTGGATACAATTAACTTAGGCTTGAATGGAGACTGGGAGTGGATGTGTGATTATACAAAGTAAAACTATTTCCCCATGTTTATTCCCCACCCACCCCCCACTGCTCCTCAGATGTTCCTGTTAACTGCTGGAAATGGCCCACGTTGATTATCACTACAAAAGGTTTTCTCCCCCCGCTCTCCTGCTAGTAATAGCTCATCTTAAGTGATCATTCTCCTTACAGTGTGTATGATAACACCCATTTTTTCATGTTCTGTGTGTATATAAATCTCCTCACTGTATTTTCCATTGAATGCATCTGATGAAGTGATCTATAGCTCACGAAAGCTTATGCTCAAATAAATTGGTTAGTCTCTAAGGTGCCACTAGTACTCCTTTTCTTTTTATGGACCAGTTAGTGCATGACACATTAATGCACATTAGAATTACACCCCTCTGGTGCACACTAGTGCTTACCATGTAGACAAGACCTTAGCTTCTCACACAAACATTTTTGTGGCTTCTTCCATGCTGCTCCTTTTACACTGAATACCCTCCCTGAAGTCACTTGCATTCCCTTTTGATCCCTCCTCAAGACCCACCTTTGCTGTCATGACTACAAGAAATGAGGCAATTAATGATGAGTAGATTGGGGACAGCTGACTTCTTATGTATAATATTTTAAAAATTCTAATATGTCTGTATTGCTATTCAATGGTCTGCCTATTAATTGGTACTTCCCAGTGGCAGCACAACACTGGTGGTTCAAGACCTGCACTAAACTGATTTTGAAGGAAAGAATAATAAAGAACCATGGAGATAAATGGAAAATGGGATAAAATGCAATATTTTTACCAAAGGTAGATCATGCCAAACTAACTTGATACATTTCTTTAATAATAGATTTTTTAGACAAGGATCAGAATATCAAACAAGAATTGGATGACCTAGAGGACTGGAGTAATAGAAATGGCATGACATTTAATAATACAAAGTGCAAGGTCATGCCTTTGGGACAAATAGAGTAATTCAAAAAAAATCAGTTATAAATTGGGGGAACCTCAGTTGGAAACAACAGAGGAGGAGAAAGACCTGAGCGTATTAGTTGATCACAGGATGACTATGAGCCACCGATATAATAGGGCAGTGGAAAAGGCAAATGAGATCTTCAGGTGCGCCAGATGAGGTATCTCTAATAAAGATAAGGAAGTAACACCATTGTACTAGGCACTTGTAAGACCTCATCTGGAATTCTGTGTGCAATTCTCGTCACTCATGTTCCAAAGACATTAATTCAAACTGGAACAGGAGCAGAGAAGGGCTACTAAGAGGATCAGAGGAATGGGGAGTCTTTCTTAAGGAGCGGAAGCTAAAAAAAGCTTGTTTTGTTTTGTTTAGTCTATCAAAATGAAGATGGGTTTCAGAGTAACAGCCGTGTTAGTCTGTATTCGCAAAAAGAAAAGGAGTACTTGTGGCACTTTAGAGATTGGTTAGTCTCTAAGGTGCCACAAGTACTCCTTTTCTTTTTTTAAAATGAAGATGGAAAGGAGATATGATTAAGGCTACGATTATGTCACAGAGGTCATGGAATCTGTGACTTCCATTGACCTCTGTGACATTTTCTGGCCCCGGGCTGGAGCTCCGAGCTCCCCTCCCACCCCCGGCAGCTTCCAGCCCCCACCCTGGTGGGGGGACCCTGCAGTTGCCCAACCGGAGGGAGCAGCAGGAGAACCCCTCACAGCTGCCCAGCCGCACTGAGCAGTGGGGGGATCCTGCAGCTCCCAGATTTTGTACACTGAATGAGGTAAGGATGCTGTAGAACAAATAGAATGTGAACATGTAATTAAAGAGTGTATCATGCTCTGTATGCACAATGGGGACTGAATTAAGTTTGCACAAGCAACGTTAATTCTGGCATGTCCTAACTTATGAATGCTTCACTTTGCAATCTTATTTTTTTTAACATTGTTGTATTGGTATGTCATATACATATATATTGATTGCACCCCTCTTCCCACTCTTTGTATATTCCCTGTCCTCTTAGGCCCAACTCTGCAAACATTTCAGCACAGATCAAAGGGAAACCAAATCAACAGGATTACTCATGTAAATAACTTACATGAGTGTAAAAAGCTCCAACAGCTACCCAGTGTGTGAGATACACTCCATCTGTGCGAGTAGAGACAGCAGCACTGTGTCTGTGAGAGGGAAGGGGTGTTACCTGGGATGAATTTCTGCCATTTCTGCTCTAGGTGGTATTTCACACAGCTGTTCCCCGAGGGGTATATTATTATCTGTTCATCAAAGTAACAAACGTTGTTTGCGACTCGAGAGCGGAGCCCAAAGATGTGGAGAGACTGAGCCACAATCACGGACATGGTGTCCCCGATGCTGCGGGTTCTGCTGGGAGAAAGATACAGGGCATAACACAGACCCCACCACCCGTGCCAACGGCTCCCCGTTCTCCCGCTTCGCCCCACCACGCCAGGCTCCCTTCTTCGCCGCCGGCTCCGCGCCTCAGCCCCCTCCTCCCGTCAGCCGCCCCTCCTCGCGCCCCGCCCGCGCCCCACACACCGCAGCGCTCCCCGCGATCCTCCGCGCCTCAAGAGCCTCTCGGCTTGTTGCCATGGAGACCGAGTCCCACAAACGAGAGTTTGACCCGGAAGCGGAACTGAGTAGGCCTCGGCGGCGGAGGCCGGAAGTGAGTTTCTCACGAGCCGCCTGTCTTTGGTGCTGAGGGTCCGCGTGGCAGGGAAAGGAACTGGCTGCTGAGGTAAGAGCGGGACCGGTCCTCCTTCTCGGCGGGACCCAGCGCCTCTCTCCCCGCGCTGGGCTGATGCCACGTGGACTGCAGGACTGCCCCCGTGCTGCCCCGTTCTCGGCCAGACCCGGGCTTCTGGGTTCTCGCCCTGCCCTGCCCGCTGCTGGTACGGGGCTGCGGCTCGTCTCCCTGGGCCCGGGTGGAGCGTATTTCGGTGCCGAGTTAGTCCTGGCGTCGGGGGAGACTCCTCACCCCCACTGGGTTCACTCTGCTGCTAACAGACCGACCGGCCCTTGGGCGCCCCTTCACAGCTACCCCCTCGGCTTCCCGCCGGCGCGGTGACCGCACGGCCTGGTCCTGGTGTTCAAAACCGGGCACTTGGTGTAGCGGCGTTTGTACGGTGCTTTAACTGGACACTGACTACTTAAAAATCACACTTCTATTTGGAAACCTTTGCTGTTACAGGAGATGCCTAAGGCTCCATCCTATAAGCACTTACGTGAATACCTGTATGCGCTTCAGTAGCCCCACTGATTTCAGTTGACTACTCGTGTGTTAAATTATGTCTGCATGAGTGCTTGCAGTGTTGCGGGCTAAAATTTCTATAATTGAAAGAGATTAGAAAGGAGGTGTTGTGAACCTGAGCTGTAGGTAACTTTAATAAGGCGTGTAAAAAGGTTACCTCTCCCTGTCTTTGAGTCCACCTGGCAGCTTTTGTAGTTGTACAATAATGTTTTCCTTCCTTTATGCTGTGTGGGAAACATGAGAACAGCCATACAGGGTCAGACCAAAAGTCCGTCTAGCTTCAGAGGGAATGAACAACTCGTACAAACAGGGAACATGAATTCAGTGTTACTCCTGAGGGAATTCTGTGCTAAAACATTAAAAATTCTGCACACAATATTTCAAAATTCTGCATATTTTATTTGTCAAAATAACACTATAATTACAACTATTTTGGTAATTTACTTCAAAATATCTGTCAGCAGGGATGTCTGCAGCAATACAGAGCAGAAAAGAAAATTGCTGGTAATTTTTTTTTTTTTTGCAAATTGATTCCTTTACTAGGCATATTAATACAGAACTTTGTGTAATTCTTTTAAATTACGATACAGAACTATTTCCTGCACCTGTCAGAAGCATGTAAAGGAGGAGCTGAGAGATAGCAAAGGCCCCTGGGAGTGAACCTGGGTGTAGGTGAGAGGTTTTTCTTGGGGGGGGGGGGGTTGTTATGGTGTTGGGAAGTCTCCCCCATGTAGACCCTGACTGACCCCAAGCCTCTCCCATTCAGTCAGGCACGTCTGCTCCTGTCCCCACACCCCCCATCCCCATGAATCTCTGCAGCCACCCTCCCCTATCCACAGGCTCAATGCTGTCACCCCACGAGCTCCTGAGCTCATGCTCCAGTCTGTCCCCCTCACTAGCCATTCTGAACCTCAGTCTGTGACGCACACCCCCCGCCCAGCAGTCCTGTGTGCCCCACTCTGTCCTAACCTGGCTCTGCAGGCAGAGTGCTGTGATGAACTCTGCTCCTACAGGAATTCTGCCACACTGAGTGTAGAATTTTATATTTTCCCACATGAAACGCATTTTGCCAAATAAGTGCTGCAGTTCTGCCTTTTGCACACCAGAGGCCACTGTGGCGCTAGAACAGACGCATGAATGTGTCAGGCTGTTCTGGCGCCACAGCGGCCTCTGGTGGGCAAAAGGTGGAACTGATGCACTTATTGTGACCGAAAAGAAAAGGAGTACTTGTGGCACCTTAGAGACTAACCAAATTATTTGAGCATAAGCTTTCGTGAGCTACAGCTGTGCTGTTGCTCACGAAAGCTTATGCTCAAATAAATTGGTTAGTCTCTAAGGTGCCACAAGTACTCCTTTTCTTATTAGGACCTATCACTCTCACAGATCTTGGGAGATAGGCCCCCTGTCTGCTTACAGACAGCCCCCCTACCTGAAGCAATTACTCACTAGCAACCACACAACAGAACCACTAACCCAGGAACCTATCCTTGCAACAAAGCCCGTTGCCAACTGTGTCCACATCTATTCAGGGGACACCATCATAGGGCCTAATCACATCAGCCACGCTATCAGAGGCTCGTTCACCTGCTCATCTACCAATGTGATATATGCCATCATGTGCCAGCAATGCCCCTCTGCCATGTACATTGACCAAACTGGACAATCTCTACGTAAAAGAATAAATGGACACAAATCAGACGTTAAGAATTATAACATTCAAAAACCAGTCGGAGAACACTTCAATCTCTTTGGTCACTCGATTACAGACCTAAAAGTGGCAATTCTCCAACAAAAAGACTTCAAAAACAGACTCCAACGAGAGACTGCTGAATTGGAATTAATTTGCAAACTGGATACAATTAATTTAACTTAAATTAACTGGATGAATGCACTATAAGGTGGGTAGAAAGTTGGCTAGATTGTCGGGCTCAACGGGTAGTGATCAATGGCTCCATGTCTAGTTGGCAGCTGGTGTCAAGTGGAGTGCCCCAGGGGTTGGTCCTGGGGCCGGTTTTGTTCAATATCTTCATAAATGATCTGGAGGATGGTGTGGATTGCACTCTCAGCAAATTTGCGGATGATACGAAACTGGGAGGAGTGGTAGATACGCTGGAGGGCAGGGATAGGATACAGAGGGACCTAGACAAATTGGAGGATTGGGCCAAAAGAAATCTGATGAGGTTCAATAAGGATAAGTGCAGGGTCCTGCATTTAGGATGGAAGAACCCAATGCACAGCTACAGACTAGGGACCGAATGGCTAGGCAGCAGTTCTGTGGAAAAGGACCTAGGGGTGACAGTGGACAAGAAGCTGGATATGAGTCAGCAGTGTGCCCTTGTTGCCAAGAAGGCCAATGGCATTTTGGGATGTATAAGTAGGGGCATAGCGAGCAGATCGAGGAACGTGATCGTCCCCCTCTATTCGACATTGGTGAGGCCTCATCCGGAGTACTGTGTCCAGTTTTGGGCCCCACACTACAAGAAGGATGTGGATAAATTGGAGAGAGTCCAGCGAAGGGCAAGAAAAATGATTAGGGGTCTGGAACACATGACTTATGAGGAGAGGCTGAGGGAACTGGGATTGTTTAGTCTGCAGAAGAGAAGAATGAGGGGGGATTTGATAGCTGCTTTCAACTACCTGAGAGGTGGTTCCAGAGTGGATGGTTCTAGACTATTCTCAGTGGTGGAAGAGGACAGGACAAGGAGTAATGGTCTCAAGTTGCAGTGGGGGAGGTTTAGGTTGGATATTAGGAAAAACTTTTTCACTAGGAGGGTGGTGAAACACTGGGATGCGTTGCCTAGGGAGGTGGTGGAATCTCCTTCCTTAGAAGTTTTTAAGGTCAGGTTTGACAAAGCCCTGGCTGGGATGATTTAATTGGGGATTGGTCCTGCTTTTGAGCAGGGGGTTGGACTAGATGACCTCCTGAGGTCCCTTCCAACTCTGATATTCTATGATTCTGTGAACTTAGGCTTGAATAGAGACTGGGAGTGGATGGGTCATTACACAAAGTAAAACTATTTCCCCATGTTTATCCGTGTCCCCCCCCCACCCCAACCCCACCCCCGTTCCTCAGACATTCTTGTCAATTGCTGGAAATGGCCCACCTTGATTATCACTACAAAAGGGTTCCCCCGCTCTCCTGCTGGTAATAGCTAACCTTACCTGGTCATTCTCCATACAGCGTGTATGGTAACACCCATTGTTTCATGTTCTCTGTGTATATAGATCTCCCCACTGTATTTTCCACTGAATGCATTCGATGAAGTGAGCTGTAGCTCACGAAAGCTTATGCTCAAATAAATTGGTTAATCTCTAAGGTGCCATAAGTCCTCCTTTTCTTTTTGCGGATACAGACTAACACGGCTGCTACTCTGAAACTAGGCAAAATGTGTTCTTTATGTGAGACAGATTAATTCTGCGTGTCTGCAGATATGCAGAATTCCCCCAGGAGTAGAACGTGCAGGGAACAGAATGAAACTGACTTAAGCTTAAAGTGCTGTCAAGTGTAGTAAGTAAATACAATAGAACCTGAGAGTTACAAACACTTCAGGAATGAAGGTTGTTCTTAACTCTGAAATATTTGTAACTCTGAATAAAATGTTTTGGTTGTTCTTTCAAAAGTTTACAACTGACCATTGACTTAATACAGCTTTGAAACTTTACTATGCAGAAAAAAATACTGCTTCCCTTAATTTTTTTAGTAGTTTGCATTTAACACAGTACTGTACTGTATTTGTATGGGTGGGGGGAGTTGTATCTCTGCTGCTGCCTGATTGCATACTTCCAGTTCCAAATGAGGTGTGTGGTTAACTGGTCAGTTTGTAACTCTGAGGTTCTACTGTAGAGAAAATGGAGAATTATTTCCTCTAGATTTCATTTATAGCAACTTGAAGGATTATTTGTAGTAACAAGCAAAAAGAAAAAAAAATTAGTGTTGCACACAATTTTACCTTAGTCTTTAATAAGTGCAGCATTATAATAGCCTTTATGACATAGGGTTTTATATGGAACATATACACAGCAGAATAGTATTTTCATCCTCATACAGATGAAAAATTGGTTGAATTAATATTACTCAAACTTTCAAAAGGAAAAAATATATTTGGGTTGAGACCCAGCATTTAAAAAATGAGAATTTCTGGACAGCTGTGTGTCTGAAAACAGGGCTGTGAACACTATCTGTGAACACTGCAGTAAAAATCCATTGGAGGAGGAATTTTCAATCTCAGCACTTCAGAACTAGCAACATCAGACAGCAGTCGCCTGTTAGGGGAACAAAGCACATGTGCACACTCCCTCTATGCATCTAGCATCATATTCCTGCACAGGGAACATGACTCATCCACTCTGCAACCAACCATTTCTTTTGAGCCAGGCTGGGTACAAGTCAGACTCTCATCCATCCTTATGCAGTTCTGTAGATACAGAGATGAACATAGTATGAGAAACCAAATAGAACAGAGTACACATGACCTTCATCTGTTTCTTTCTCCAAGTTAAAGATGGCAGACTATGAAAATCAGTCGTTGTCAGAGTCCGAGTCAGAAGAATCGGTCATCACTGACAAAGAGGTAAACTTAATCCCAAGGAGCTTGAGCAAGATTTCCCCAATGCTGTGTGGGGAGAAGGAGTGCAGATTCCCCTGGATGAGAACACCTAACCCTACACAATGAAGGGGGTTGCGGAGGAGGCATCAGTTAGAACATCAAGCTTCCCCAATTATACTAAAATGTTTCACCACTGCCTATTGTGTGTGGGAGGGGTGTCAGCAGAGAAAGATCATAGAATATCAGGGTTGGAAGGGACCTCAGGAGGTCATCTAGTCCAACCCCCTGCTCAAAGCAGGGCCAATCCCCCAGTTTTTGCCCCAGATCCCTAAATGGCCCCCTCAAGGATTGAACTCACAACCCTGGGTTTAGCAGGCCAATGCTTAAACCACTGAGCTATGCGTCCCGCTTTTCTTCCCCCCGAGAGCTCTTCTCTCTTGTGGCCTGTTGTGGATAGCAGTTCACATTTTTTATCTGAGTTCTTATCCTCTATCCATCAATGTGGTGTGTGAGCCCCTGACATGTTCTGCCTTTATCCCCTCCCCTTAGTCGGCTGGCTTTCCTGATTATGGATGTGCTTATGAGTGATAAGTTCCTGCTTTGGCCCAAGTGTTCAGCCCCTGGCAAGGGACATAATCTATCTTCTCTGGACCAATCTGTGACCAATCTCCTTCTGTGCAGCTCCAGGCAGCATTTTCCAGGGGTGCCCTGAAGCCAGGGCTGAATGTTGTGCTTGAGGGGCACAAGAAGACTCTTAACAATGTGGTGAGTACTGTGTCTGTGTAGGCTGTGACTCTGGTGTGTGCATGCAAGTGCTTATATGGGAAGAGTTTGCTTTTGAAGGTTGGGCTTGTTCATGTGGCTACCTATAGGAATCACAGAGGTTAGTGAATTAAAAACTCTTAGAGCATTTATTCAGTTATCGCATACATCTTTGGTGGGGAACACTGCAGTGGTAAAGGCTGGGTTTGTTATGGAACTAGTACTGTCATACCAATTTCCTTTTTACACTATGAAGTCCTTAATTGAGTTGATCATGTTCTTCGCTGCTGTAATGCCGAGACACCACGGTCGATATTACTCATTGACTTTAGCTTCCATGTAGATTACAGGATTTGTTCGTTTACGATTTTATGGCCTGTGGCAACTATCAGGTTATCTCAAGTTGTTGAAGACTCAGCTGGCCATACTGAGGTTTAGGCATTTGGGTTATGATTAAACAGTAGAAGGTTGGATAGTCAATCCATATCAGGGACCAATGGTTAGAGCCCTGCACTGATACAAAATTTGAATCTGCATCCATCTGCAAATATTGTCCGGGGATGCGCATATAAAGTGGATATTGGCAGATTTGCTGGGCTCTACCAATTGTTGCCTCCTCCCCAGGATCCTGGGAAGTAGATCCCAGCTGAAGGAGTCCAGTAAAATAACTTTTCTTTGCCTTTTTGGGTTTTAATTTAGTGTTTGGTTCACTTCAGATTTTATAGAAAATGTTTTACCTTTGCCACAAGGCTAACCTACCAAGTTTGAAGCCATTATATGTCTTTTTTGTGAACCTTTAGGTGGGTGGATCCAAAATCAGAAACTGAGCTTCCATTAGGAGTTCATCATAACTATGGTTTGACTGCCATTAGTACATAATGCAGTTCCCTAGTGCATACTCGCTGTCCCAGAACAGCTTTTGACATACCAAAACACTTTCTGGAGTGGTCTTGTGGGGACACAGAACTGGTGTGTGGCAGGCACGTGTTTAGGGAATAAAATACCTTGCTGGAGGAAGATTTTTAGCTTGTGGAGAGCTTAATAATTGGGCTGGGCCCAGTTTGTTCCAAAATGCACTTGCAAAAGGTCAGTAGAATTACTGGCTGGTTGGTGTGTATGCCTGCCTGGCAGTATTAGACCACTGCTCCCAACACTCACTCTGCACAGCTCAACGCTATCGTAGGGTATGTCTGCACTGCTGTTGGAAGGTTTGATCTAGCTAAATCAAAGCTAGCTTGAGTAATAATAGCAGTGAAGCTGCTGCAGTATGGGCAGCTTCACGGACTTACTCTTCCCACCCAGACCCTAGGTACATACTTGCTGCAGCAGCGCGGGCAGAGGCTGCTCTTCACTCCTATTGTTACTTGAGCTAGCTTTAATCTAGCTAGATCAGAGCTAGCTCGGGTATGTCTAGGCTTGCTTCAGTCACACCTCCCAGTTGCAGTGTAGATATACCCGTAGAAGCACACTCATTTGCTGTCATATTAACTTTAGATTCTTTAACAGCAGTGTTATTTTTGCGTGCCCAAGAGTGTACTGAGTACTTTCCACAATCTAAAATCAAGGTTGCTGTTGCATGAAAGAGTGGGAAGCAAGGAAGGAACAAAATTATAAGATCACACAATCACTCGTTTAAATCATGGACCTGATCTGGTGTTTGATCCTGCCTCATTTCCCTTTCTCGGGGTTCTCAAACTACACCCAGATTCTTGAGTCAAACACCCCTTCTTGAGGTCTGGTTTATTAAAACATCATCACAGTTAAATGTCAGGTTAAGTCAAAACAAGTCTGTCCCCACTCTGCAATTTTTTCCTCCAAAACTCCATTCATGCTGCCTGGCATTTCCTCAAGCTGCTTCTTAAGGCTTTTCATCTCCTGCTCCTCATTGCAGGTAGCCTTTGCATTTAGCTGGTATGGAGCGCTCCTTCTCTGGTCCTCTTTGACCCTACCTCTCCACAGGAATCTTGCTGCTCTCTTAAATTGAGTTCAGCAGACAGTCTTATCTGCCTCAAAGGCCATCACCTGGGGAGGCAGCTAACAAGTCAAGGGTGGGGTTGAGCCCAACTCCCTTAAAGGGGCAGCCCATCCTAATATGGAGATATAGAATTGCTAGCCTTCAAAAGACAAACTTGTTTTGTGTCTTGCTGTTAATAGAACTGTCCTTCTTTTTCTAGGATGGCTTGAAGCAATGTTTGTGTGAATTCAAGCAGCAGCTCGCCTGGGTGGAAAGGCTGGATGTGACCTTGGGTCAGGCACCAAACGTCATGAGTCCAACCTCATATCACACACCTGACAAAGCCACCGTCGACCCTGAGGATGACTTCCAGCGAGAGATGAGCTTGTGAGAGGGGGCGACGTTCTCCTATGGGGCCCCAGAGTCATACCACACACACGGCCTATCCACATACACAACCTAGTGTTGCATCACTATCACATCTTGCCATGCTCTGCACGCCATCAGTGTCGTGCCTTCCATCCACATGCCGATGTCACATCACTTTCGATCCTTAATTCATATACATGTGTAACAACTCGACACCCATGTGTCATGCTGCTATAAACCCTAAAAATATATTCCAGAATAGAACAAGACATCTTGAAGCTTGAAATCCTTCCCTGTTTTGGATTCTGAGATTTTGTGCTTTACCCTCTTTTGGCAAGCCTGGATTATAAAATGATCAATCATGAGAAAATATTTTAGTAATATAAATCTTGGTTTTTACTTAAAATAGACTCTCTTAAAAAAATTGTGCTTTATATTCAGATAATTTAAATCTTGGGTAGATCAAAAAAACTTTGAATTTAAGTATGAAATAAGTGTTGAATTTTCTTGTCAAGAAAATTCTTTTTTTTAATTAAATTCAAATATATTAAGTTCTCTTTAGAGAACTGCTTCCTTACAAAATCTAAACTTCAAGGGGAAAAAAAATATATTAACGCATATCAGGCTGTATTTTGTGTGGAAGGCACTCAGGTACTTTAGTAATGGTTGGCAGTAGAAAATCCTAAAATTGATGGGGTTTTTTTTTTTGTATCTGTGACCTCCTACCCAGAGGTCTTGAGGTGGTCTCTATTTTCACGTGGGATATTATCTCATTGAAACAAATACAATGAAATCCTTCAGACTGTCTTAATTTCCAGGACACGAGAAAATCACGGGCACTGCAATTTTTTTTGTACATGGTGGTATTCTGTACATTCTAAACCTATATTAAACTTGCCAAGATAGTTGCACAATGTAAAAAAATTGCTGCCCTGTTAAACCAGTCTTATAGAAAACTGTCTCCAATGAAATAGCAGGAGCTGCAAAGGTGGTAACTAATTTCCATGCCTAATTAAACAGATCATTTCTTTTAAAAATACCTGTAGCACACCACTAAGGTTCCAAAGTGAAAATGGAAGTTCCTGTAGCATCTTGGTGTCATTGCAATTCTGCCTATTTTATGGTTTGCATTTTACAGTACAATTTGTAAAATTGTAAACTGCATGTTAACCAGAAAAACAGGAATAGAAATACAACGTGAGCTATGTGTCTCGGTTAATGTTGTTGGCACCTTAATTTCTGGGCTCTTTGCATTTTTAATGTTGCTCTGATATAGTTTTGGGATTTTATGTAAATTGTATTTATCTTGCATCAAATAGCTAATATGAACTGAGTTCCTGATGTCCATGCCCAGTGTGCTTTAGACCTTACTGTTAACTTTAACTTGCTGTCCCATTGTTTTCCCAGTTACCGTCAGGCCCAGGCAGCGGTGCTGAAGGCCCTTCCTTGGCTACATCACCAAAAAGTCCCCACAAGGAGGCCAGATGATTACTTTGCAGAGATGGCCAAATCTGACCAACAGATGCAGAAGGTATTAAACTTGATTTGGCATTGGATGTCTTTTCTTCCCTCAGATTCCCGAGTGTAGGTCTTAGACTATGTAAAGCACAGACTTTAAGATTGAACAATGATACATGAGTGAAACATGGTCAGACTTGAGAAGTCTGTCAGCACATATGGAATCCAGACTAGTGATCTACTCTGTCTTCAGGAGTGCCCTGTAATAGATGCTTCAGAGGAGGGTGCAAAAAAACACATATAATGGACAATTTTGAAATAGTCTGCTCTCAGGGGAATTGTAAAGTGAAATAGAAATGATTATAATAGGGAATTGGGAGTTAGGAGTGAATTGGATCCATCACATATTTTAATCCAGAGTCTGTTAGGTTCATATTACAGAATTTGTTTTTTATAATATTAAAAACACAGGACTTTTTCCTAATGTTCTCATGACCTGACAGAATCTTGCTGAAGCCCTGACCATTATCCCCAGGGAATTATGGCTTGTTGTGAAGCACTTCACTATGAAACAAGTTTTTCTTACTGTTACTGTTGGTTGTCTTTGAAGAGCAGAGGTTTATTCTTATGCTTCAGTTGTTACCTCCACATATTGCAGAACTTTCCAGTAAGAATCTCTCTAATCTTTGGATTGATTGTATAATTGCATTCTTTCTTAAAGTCCAGTAAAAGCTTTTAATTGTTTGGGGGCGAGGAGGAAGGGGAAAGATTGAATTCTGTCGCAGGGAGAGGCCAGTGATTTCACTAACATTATCCAAGATTCAGGTCCCTTCTAGGGGAACTGCTCAATCTCGTCTATAAATCCGAAAGGTTTGGGCAAAAGTGATAGCTTTGTCTCAATCTGTTCAGTAAGAGCTTGTTCTGTTGAGGCTGCACTTGATCTCTGTACATGCCATTAATCTTCTGGCCAAATCTGGGTTGAAGCCAGAAGACCGGGAGTTTCTGCAGTGAGCATTCCCAAACTTGAGTTATCTGACCCTATTAGAGAGAGGAAGCTGTATCTAAAAATCACTACATGCAATAGAGAATGTGGCACTGGGTCTAGGCAGCAGCTTTAGGAGGACCTTAGGGATTTAATAAATATAGACTACATTTAGTGCATAGTGTAAAGATTTACAGCATGTTTTATTTTTATACCTGAGTAATGGCCCTACCCATATGGCTTATCCATCTCATGGTTCACATAGCCACATTTTCCTTTGCATAACAAGAACATTTATTTTGTTTCCTAATAAGATTCGACACAAGCTCAAGAGTAAACAGGCAGCAATGGAGAAGTCTGAGAAAGCAAAACAGCTTCGTGCATTGAGAAAATATGGCAAAAAGGTGAGGAGGTGGAGAAACTTATCGGGCAAGAAGGAAACCCATCGGTGGCAAGACCCTGGAGCCTGTGGGTGGTGATCCCAGATATTGTTTGGGAACCCAGAGAGTGAAACCTCTTGGACAGCATTTCCAGCTGTTGTTTGGGGACACTGCGAAGGAGGGCCTTGAACATGACCCTGTTTGGCCAGTTTACTATGCCTGTTTGGGGGTGTGGAGGGGGAAAATATAAAGACAGTGGCACCCCTTGGGAGCGTTTGTAGTACAGTAGGGAGAAAAACCCATATTATCTCTTGTTACAGGTACAAACAGAGGTTCTGCAGAAGAGGCAAAAGGAAAAAGCAACTGTGCTGAATGCAATCAAGAAATACCAGAAAGGTGAAGTCATCAGTCTCGCCACAAGAGAGTGCTGAGGGAGCAGGAAGAGGACAGTGAGATAAGAGCACTGCAGCATATGGGGTGTCATTAGCCAAAACTGGAGAGGAGTGAGTTGGAAAAGGGCACTGCTGAACGTAGAGATACACAGAGCAGCAGTAGTGGTAGCACAAAGACTCTTAAATAGGCAGAGCCTAGTGGGCGTAAAACTGCCATTGACTAATGCTGTAGCTCTTACATTGGAAATTCTTCTGTCTGATTCAGTGGTAGCAGCTCCACAAATGTTCTGCTCTTGCAGGTCTCTCTGACAAGCTGGATTTCCTGGATGGGGAGCAGCCACCACCACATCAAGGGAAGAAGGAAGGAGATGGTGGTCAACGAATAAAGAAAGGGTGAGATGGGGAAGTTTGAGGCATTGCAGCTGGAGCCAGTATATCCCCATCTGAGTCTACAAAGCTATTTTTCAGGATAGTACCAGACCCAAGCTATCCCTGAGATGGCAGCAGATAATTCCCAGCTCTTAATGCTAATGTTCAATCTTATGCACCTCAGAGAGGAGTTGCAGCTCATAGCATACACTTGCAGAGAGGAAAGGTTGGTTATAAACAAGGTGGGGCAGAGAGTGGAGTGTCTTAAATATTTTTGACAGGTTTCAGAGTAGCAGCCGTGTTAATCTGTATTCGCAAAAAGAAAAGGAGTACTTGTGGCACCTTAGAGACTAACAAATTTATTTGAGCATAAGCTTTCGTGAGCTACAGCTCACTTCATCAGATGCATTCAGTGGAAAATACAGTGGGGAGATTTATGTACACAGAGAACATGAAACAATGGGTGTTATCATACACACTGTAAGGAGAGCGATCACTTAAGATGATATAATACCAGCAGGAGAGCGGGGCGGAGGGGAGGAAAACCTTTGTAGTGATAATCAAGTTGGGCCATTTCCAGCAGTTGACAAGAACGTCTGAGGAACAGTGGGGTGGGGGGGAATAAACATGGGGAAATAGTTTTACTTTGTGTAATGACCCATCCACTCCCAGTCTCTATTCAAGCCTAAGTTAATTGTATCCAGTTTGCAAATTAATTCCAATTCAGCAGTCTCTCGCTGGAGTCTGTTTTTGAAGTTTTGTTGTTGAAAAATTGCCATTTTTAGGTATGTAATCGAGTGACCAGAGAGATTGAAGTGTTCTCCGACTGGTTTATGAATGTTATAATTCTTGACATCTGATTTGTGTCCATTTATTCTTTTACGTAGAGACTGTCCAGTTTGACCAATGTACATGGCAGAGGGGCATTGCTGGCACATGATGGCATATATCACATTGGTAGATGTGCAGGTGAACGAGCCTCTGATAGTGTGGCTGATGTGATTAGGCCCTATGATGGTGTCCCCTGAATAGATATGTGGACACAGTTGGCAACGGGCTTTGTTGCAAGGATAGGTTCCTGGGTTAGTGGTTCTGTTGTGTGGTACGTGGTTGCTGGTGAGTATTTGCTTCAGGTTGGGGGGCTGTCTGTAAGTAAGGACTTGCCTGTCTCCCAAGATCTGTGAGAGTGATGGGTCGTCCTTCAGGATAGGCTGTAGATCCTTGATGATGCGTTGGAGAGGTTTTAGTTGGGGGCTGAAGGTGATGGCTAGTGGCATTCTGTTATTTTCTTTGTTGGGCCTGTCCTGTAGTAGGTGACTTCTGGGTACTCTTCTGGCTCTGTCAGTCTGTTTCTTCACTTCTGCAGGTGGGTATTGTAGTTGTAAGAATGCTTGATAGAGATCTTGTAGGTGTTTGTCTCTGTCTGAGGGGTTGGAGCAAATGCGGTTGTATCGTAGAGGTTGGCTGTAGACAATGGATCGCGTGGTGTGATCTGGGTGAAAGCTGGAGGCATGTAGGTAGGAATAGGGGTCAGTAGGTTTCTGGTATAGGGTGGTGTTTATGTGACCATCGCTTATTAGCACCGTAGTGTCCAGGAAGTGGATCTCTTGTGTGGACTGGTCCAGGCTGAGGTTGATGATGGGATGGAAATTGTTGAAATCATGGTGGAATTCCTCAAGGGCTTCTTTTCCATGGGTCCAGATGATGAAGTTGTCATCAATATAGCACAAGTAGAGTAGGGGCATTAGGGGATGAGAGCTGAGGAAGCGTTGTTCTAAGTCAGCCATAAAAATGTTGGCATACTGTGGGGCCATGCGGGTACCCATAGCAATGCCGCTGGTTTGAAGGTATACATTGTCCCCAAATGTGAAATAGTTATGGGTGAGGACAAAGTCACAAAGTTCAGCCACCAGGTTTGCCCTGACATTATCGGGGATACTGTTCCTGATGGTTTGTAGTCCATCTTTGTGTGGAATGTTGGTGTAGAGGGCTTTTGCATCCATAGTGGTGTTTTCAGGAAGATCACCGATGAATTGTAGTTTCCTCAGGAAGTCAGTGGTGTCTCAAAGATAGCTGGGAGTGCTGGTAGCGTAAGGTCTGAGGAGGGAGTCTACATAGCCAGACAATCCTGCTGGCAGGGTGCCAATGCCTGAGATGATGGGGCGTCCAGGATTTCCAGGTTTATGGATCTTGAGTAGCAGATAGAATATCCCAGGTCGGGGTTTGCAGGGGTGTGTCTGTGTGGATTTGTTCTTGTGCTTTTTCAGGGAGTTTCTTGAGCAAATGCTGTAGTTTCTTTTGGTAACTCTCAGTGGGATCAGAGGGTAATGGCTTGTAGCAAGTGGTGTTGGAGAGCTGCCTAGCAGCCTCTTGTTCATATTCCGACCTATTCATGATGACGAAGCACCTCCTTTGTCAGCCTTTTTGATTATGATGTCAGAGTTGTTTCTGAGGCTGTGGATGGCATTGTGTTTTGCACGGCTGAGGTTATGGGGCAACTGATGCTGCTTTTCCACAGTTTCAGCCCGTGCATATCGGCGGCCATCTCCAGTGAGAGGGAGACAAATGGGTCTTTTTGACAGCCGGAAATAAATCTGATGTAATCTAGCGTGACATGAGCATCACCTAGGAGGAGCTGGTTGGGAGCTTCCCACATCGCACATGTGCTTTCAAGCGAGTTCACTGAGGGAGGGTAGTAGGAACCTAGCAGAGATGACTGGTTGTTTCTGTTTCAGACCAAACGCAAAGCGACGTTACAAGAATCAGAAGTTTGGCTTTGGTGGGAAGAAGAAAAGCTCAAAATGGAACACACGGGAGAGTCACAATGACGTATCCAGCTTCCGGGCTAGCGTGGCCCACAACAAGGGCCCTGGGAAAGCAGGGAAAAAAGGTTCCAATGTGAGTGAGAAGTGTGTCCTACACATTACAACCCTGTGCATTAGTGGGAGATGGGCCCTGGCCACAGAGGGAAGAGCTATATGTGTGTTAGGAGTGGCACATGACCTCTGTGTATAAGGGGCTATGGGCTTCGTATTTGGAGACCAAGACTAATTAGGTGGTGGGCAAGGCTGAGCAGGTTGGTTTGATACGAATGGGGGAAAGCAAGTTCCATGCCAAAAGGAATGCTTTGCAGGTGAGTCAGAAAATACCATGTTTATCCCTACCAGCGTCCTGAACCCCTGCATCAGAAAAACTGAAAGGTGAGCATCATTGCTCTGACAAGGCCACTTCTTTCCCATTGTATAAGGCCAGAAGCAGGGGGTGGGGCTCAAAACCAGAGATCTAAATTTGTCATTCTCTTTTTACAGAAGAGACCGGGCAAAAAGATGAGGCAGAAAATGAAGAGTCGAACCTGATAAGGATTGAGTGGATGGACCCTGCTCCCCAGTGGTTTTGGTTTAGTTTCTATGTCTGTATGAATTGCAGGTGGTGGTCCTCTGGAGTCTTCAGGCAGTTCTAACTCCTGTAGACCAAGCTGGATGGTGCCATTTGATGCAAATGGTTGCAGTGGAAGTGCATATACAGTCACTAATTAATTCCTTTTTACTGTTAATTTTCCTCCAAGATTTTTTCTGCTTCTCAAGCCTTGGGCCTGGCATATGTGAACTTATTAAATAGTTTGGACAGAGCTCATTTGGTTCTCCTATCTTCAGTGTTGTGTTGAAGGAGGGACCTGAAATCTGTCCCTCATTGTGACTGGGATTGGAGGATCCCCATGGCTCTTTCCACAGCTGCCTTTGGTAAAAGTGGGGAATTTAGCCTCCAGGTCAGACTTGTTAAATACTGGCTTTGCTACAGTCACAAGCCTGGAGCCTGTCAAAAAGGTAAAGCCTTTTGCAGGTTTTTAGTACATCCACTTGGATGAGAACAGTAAGAGACAAAAGCAGAACTTTCACATGGGTTTATTTCTGTAACAGCTGTCAGCTTCCAGGAGGTATGGCCCAGCTAGGGCGTCGTCCTCCCTTGCTTAGAAATCGACAGGGCTACCCATGGCAATGAAGAGATGGCAACATTGTTTAGAAACTCCAAACCACACAACTCTGCCTCGCACAGCAATGTTGCTACTACCACCCTACTACATGTTCTCGCTCTGCTCCTTCAGGCGCCACATGGCAGCCATGTACTTGGTGATCTCACTGTTCCGACATGGGAAGTACAGTCTGCGGTCAGTGCGGTCCACACTAGTCTGTGGAAGAGAAAATGGTCAAAGTGTGAGGAGTGTCTCCAGGAGATGTTCTCTTTGAGATCAAAGATGCAAGGAGTCAGTTGCTGCAATTCACTGCTGCATGACTGGATGACTATATGATTGATAAGGTAACTGAATCTCATATTTCACGTTATTGGCTGATCGCCACTAAGGTAAAAGTAATAGGATTTACCATACTGGCCATTGGTCCATCATATCTTCACTGTTGGATTACTACTGTACCCAGGTGCTCATATAAAGGAACCTTCATTTGTCTTTTGGTAACTGTACTTCTAAAGTAGTTTTGTAAAAATGGTCCTGAGAGTTCCTAGGTTTGTCTCTAACTCCAATTTAGATGTGCTCAATTCTAGATGTAATTTCTTTCCCCTTGCCCATTGCTGCTAGTCCTCCAACCTCAATCAACCACCTGAAAGTCACGCTGAGCTCTTTCTAGCTCAGGCATTGTCACCAGTGACTCTGACTCACCCGAGACACACCATAGCATTAATGTTTCTGGAGCTGGTACTAGTTAACAATTGTTTGATGCAGGAATGAGATCCCTCACCCCTTAGCTGCGTTTGTTGCCGAGCTAATGGTATAAAGGATAAAAACATGTCACTAAAGCCATCAGGAATGTGTGGAGGTCTTTGGAGTAAAGACTAAACTTTTTTTTTTTTTTGTTGCTGGTTGGAAGTACATTACCAATCAAGCCAGGAGTCCGTAGCAAGAAGCGATGAGTTGCACAGGGATGCAAGTTAGAGGTCAGCGTTTCTGTTGGCAGGGAGGCAGTGCAAGTCATGACTTGCTCTATATAAATCTCTGCAGGCAGAAATTGTTTCCCCTTGGTGCACTGTTTAGTGATAGCCTGTTTGCAGGTGTTATCCATCTAGGAACTAGCTAATTTTTGAAAGACTAAAGCACTCTACCCTACCCCATTGACTGCCTATCTGCTCTTTTCCCTTCTGAGTAGAAGGAGCGCTAAGAAATTGACCTATGGCAATCCTGTCTATTTTGAAACAAATACAATTATATCAGTTCTATGTTCCCTCAACTAAGTGGTTTCCAAGAAATTTATCAGAATTCTTCAGGCACTCTTGCTTTAGTGGAACCTCAGAAATCTCTGCTGGATCAGTCATGATTACTACTATCATTTGTCAGACGTTTTTAATTAACCCTTGTGTCACAAAATTTACATCTCTTCTCGAAGTATTTCCATGTTGATTCCTTATCATAAATCAGACTATATTTTCTGACTGGGATACACCTCCAATTTATTAGTAGCTTCATGATCCTTTCTTCCCACTTACCTAAAGGATACAGTCATACCACATTTACCTACAAACATTTGTAGCCTTATCTCCCATTAAATGTCACTTCATTAATTGTTGCTCTTCAGTGAACTCCCGCCAACTTTATTAGCATCTGATACTTACGTTAGCAGAACTGAATGCAAATATTCTGGGTATGATTGCAGCAGATTGAGAGAGGGGGACTATCACTTCACCTCTGTACTCTGCAGTGCCTATGCTAGTTGGACCATACGCGTGGGCTCCGTGTGTGTTTTGGGGTGGAGCACTCACGGGGGGGGAAAAATACTGGGTGCTCAGCATCCACCAGAAGCCCTGTGGACCAGCTCCTTCCCCGTCCTCCCAGTGATTCCTGCCCCCATGGCGATCAGCTGTTCAGCAGCATGCAGGAGGTGCTTAGGGGGGTGGGGAGGAAGAGCAAGTGCAGGAAGGGGTGGAGTGGGGGGCGGAGCCTGAGGTGGAGCAGGGGTTGAGCGCCCCCCGAACTTGGAAAGTTGGCGCCTCTGAGTTGGACTGTATACTCCATCATATTCTACTAAACATTAATGTTCAATTTGCTACCCACTAGCACCTCAGTTCTTTCCCAACCATTCCAGTTTCCCAGGATGTTCTGTTCCATTGGTTATATTTGTTTCAAGTTTGTTCCGGGTTTATTCCTCAACCAGAGAAATGAGTTCAAAGGCTTACATTGAGCTGCTCCTTTTTATACTCTAGATCAGTGGTTCTTAACCTGGGGTGCAAGACATACCAGATTTTTTTAGAGGGTAAATCATTGAAAACACAAATTAAGCACAGGCACATAAGTACAACTACTTTGTTTCATCAAACCTATGTATTTATTAACATACATTTTTTAACAATTACTGTAATATCCAAACAAAAAATATATCTAGGTTTAAAGAACTGACCTACTTCAACGATTTTTTATAAGGGGTGCAAGAACATATGATTTTTGATAAGGGGTACAGGCTGCAGTAAAGATTAAGAACCACTGCTCTGGATAAAGCGTTTAGGGATCCTACTCACCAAGGGAGTATTGTTCCAGCCAATTTCCTGGCTCTCTGTCTGTGGCTCTGTATATTTCTTGGTTGGCTCCAGTGCAGCATGGTGAATAAGATTCAGAAACTTGGCTGTTGGATTGTGGGGGGGAAAAACAGGTATGGGGAGAGGGCAGTATTTTAAACCAGAATAAAGGAACTAGATCAAATAATTAAGTGTTATGACACAAGGGAAGATTTGAACCTTATCCTGAGGAACTCATACTCTAAAAGAAATAGATGAGGCCAACAGTGAAGTCAGCTCTCTGTTTCTGCGCTTCTGTGAACGACCCTGTGAGGTGTCATGGTATATCTACTGTTTTTGTCAAACATACCCATACATCTTGCTAATTCTGTCATCCTTGTCTCCTGTACAACAGCCCCCTATCCTCACTCAGTCTGCTGCCAGCTACCACTCCCTATCCTGCCAATTGACATTGCTTAAGTTACTTACTTGTAACCTGGTCCCTTACTATTCCAGTTCTTATTTCCTGATCTGTGACTTCAGGAAACCAGTTCCTACTTCTATTAACTTTTGTCTGTTTGTAAACTTGCCAGTGTCTTTTTTTTCCCCAGGCTGCTCTCACTCTGTGTAAAGGCATGTGCATAGAGAGTTCTAGAATCATAGAAATGTGGGGCTGGAAGGGACCTCAAGAGGTCATCAAGGCTAGCCTCCTGGAGATGGCAATAGTGACTGAAAAGTGCAAAACTCACCTTTAACTAAAGTGGGGCTTGATTCTTCACTAGTCATCCGGTCATGTTATTTTTTGAGAGAAGTTACCATAGACGACAAAGGAGAAAGGATGCAGATCGGGATAAGTAAAGAACATGTCAGAGATCTTCTGACTAATATGAATGAATTAAAGTCAGCAAGGCCTGATGCTGTTCACCCCAGGCTGCTGAAGGAATTAGCTGAAGAAATCTCAGAGCTGCTTGCAATAATATTTGCAAACTCATTGATGATAGAAGTCCTGGAAGATTTGAGAAAGGCTAACATAGTTTTAATCTTTAAAAGGGGAAAAAGGAGGATCCAGGGAACTACAGACCAGTCAGCCTGACCTTGATCCCTGGAAACCTACTAGAGCAATGTATAAAACATTCAATTTGTGAATACCTGGAGGATGAAGGGGTAGCATCCAGCATGGATTTACTAAGAACAAATCATGGCAAACCAGCTTGATTTGCTTCTTTGACAGGTTAACTGATTTGGTGGATGGGGGAATGCGGTGGACATAATATACCTAGACTTTAGCAAGGCTTTTAACACAGTCCCACATGACATTCTGATAAGTAAGCTGGAGAAATGGGGGCTTGGCGGAACTACCATAAAGTGGATACATAATTGGCAAAGCAACCACAAACAGAGTATCAATGAAATTTTTAGATTGGAAGGAGGTCACAGGCATCTGTTCTGGGTCCAGTGTTATTTAACATCTTTATTAATGAACTGGAGGTAGGAATAGAGAGCACTGCTGAGAGGGATCTGGGAGTTGTGGTGGATCACAGCCTCAACATGAGTCGTCAATGCAATGCTGTTGTAGTTTTAGATTGCATTTGCTTTTTTGCATTAACAGAGGCAAAGCATGCAAGTCACAGGAGGTGGTAGTAATGCTTTACTTGGCACTGGTTTGGCCTCAGCTGGAGTACTATGTCCAATTTTGGTCACCAATGTATAGAAAGAAGGTAGAGAAACTGGAAAGGATTCAGAGGCGATTGACAAAGATGATCAAAAGGATGGAATGCAAACCATATGAGCAAAGGCTGAAGGACCTGGGAGTGTTTAGTTTGGAAAAGAGGAGATTAAGGGGCAACATGTTAGGGTTCCCTCCCCACTCTGAATTCTAGGGTACAGATGAGGGGACCTGCATGAAAGACCCCCTAAGCTTATTTCTACCAGCTTAGGTTAAAAACTTCTCCAAGGTACAAATCCTTCCTTGTCTTTGGATGTGTACTGCTACCACCACCAAGTGAGTTAGACAAAGATTCAAGAAAAGGACCACTTGGAGTTTGTTTCCCCAAAATATTCCTCCCAAACTCCTTCACCCCCTTTCCTGGGGAGGCTTGAGAATAATCTACCAACCAGATAGGTAAACAAGGTGAGCACAGACCAGACCCTTGCATTTTTAGGACACTAAAAACCAATCAGATTCTTAAAAAACAGAACTTTATTATAAAGGAAAAAAAAGTAAAAGAAGCACCTCTGTAAATCAAGATGGAAGGTAATTTTACAAGGTAATAAGACTTAACACAGAGGATTCCTCCCTAGGCAAAACTTCAAAGTTACAAAAAACAGGGATAAACCTCCCTCTTAGCGCAGGGAAAATTCACAAGCTAAAACAAAAGATAATCTAATGCATTCCTTGCTATTACATCTAATATTACAGCAATAGTAAGTATCAGTTCAGTAGGAGCTACATTACTTGCTTGGTCTGTCTCGGAGAGAACACACACAGAGCACAAAAACAAAGCCTCCCCCCCCAGATTTGAAAGTATCTTCTTTCTCCATTGATCCTTCTGGTCAGGTGCCAACTAAGTTAATTGAAGGGCTTTTGTATTACTGCATACATAAAGGTTGTTACCCTTCCCTTTATATTTATGACACAACATGATAGCAGTCTTCAAATACTTGAAACAGTGCCATAAAAGAGAGAGAAAAGTTATTCTGTTTTGCCACAGAGGGCAGGACAAGAAGCAATGGACTCAAATTAGGGCTGTCAAACAATTAAAAAATCATGATTAATCACAAGATTAAAAAATTGATCAGTTTTTATGGCATTGTTTAAATAAATGATATTCTATTAATACTTTGGATATTTTCTACATTTTCAAATATATTGATTTCAGTTACAACACAGAATAAAGTATACACGGCTCACTATATTTTATTACAAATAGTTGTACTGCAAAGATAAAATCGTATTTTTCAATTCACCTCCTGCAAGTACTGTAGTGCAATCTCTTTATCGTGAAGGTGAAACTTACAAATGTTTAAAAAAAAAAATCTACAAAACTGCACTAAAAAATAAAGCAATGTAAAACTTTAGCGCCTACAAGTCCATTCAGTCCTAAGTCCTGTTCACTCCTTAAGACCAATAAGTTTGTTCACATTTACAGGGAATAATGCTGCCCACCTCTTATTTACAATGTCACCTGAAAGTGTGAACAAGCGTTTGCATAGCACTGTTGTAGCTGGCGTTGCAAGGTATTTACATGCCAGATATGCTAAACATTTGTATGCCCTTTCATGCTTTAACCACCCTTCCAGAGAACATGCTTCCATGCATGACTGTCATTAAAAAAAAGTGTGTTTTTAATTAAATTTGTGACTGAACTCCTTGAGGGAGAATTATGTCTCCTGCTCCATTGTTTTACCCGCATTCTGCCATATGGTCTCGGATGACAACCAAGCATATGTTGTTCAATTTAAGAACAATCACTGCAGATCTGACAAAATGCAAAGAAGGTACCAATATGAGATTTCTAAAGATAGCTACAGCACTCGACCCAAGGTTTAAGAATCTGAAGTGCCTTCCAAAATCTGAGAGGGATGAGGTGTGGAACATGCTGTCAGAAGACTTAAAAAAGCAACACTCTGATGCAGAAACTACAGAACCACCAAAAAAAGAAAATCAGCCTTCTGCTTGGTGGCATCTGACTCAGATGATGAAAATGAATATGAGTCAGTCTGGACTGCTTTGGACCGTTATTGACCAGAATCTGTCATCAGCGTGAAAGCATGTCCCCTGAAATGGAGGTCGAAGCATGAATGTTTAGCATATCTGGCATGTAAATACCTCGCAACCCTGATGGAATTGGCATCGTTAGCACTACAAAAAGTAATTTTTATTCTGACATTCACACCTTGTCAACTGTTGGGAATGGGACACATCCACCCCGACTGAATCATTGACCCCCCCACTTGGTAAGGGCAAGTCCCATCTTTTCTTGTGCTGTATATTTATGCCTGCCTACTGTAATTTTCACTCCATATATCTGAAGAAGTGGGTCATAGCCCATGAAAGTTATGCTCTAATAAATTTTTTAGTCTTTAAGGTGCCACAAGACTCCTCATTGTTTTTACTAAGAAAAGTGTGTTAGTGCTTAATGGCCAAAGTCTTTCAAATGAAAATGAATCTACTGAATTTGCTTTGGAAAAATCCAGTGTGGATAGCTTAAAGGAGGCTTCTTTGTTAACTGATATTGGAAGTGAACAGTTTGTGTCTCAAGTTCAAAAGAGAGGCTGGAATCCTGGCTTTACACAGCAGAGCAACCTTGTAAATAAACCCATAGACACTTTGGATATATCTTGTCATCTCTTAGAGCTGGTCTACACTACAGCGGGGATCGACACTCTGAGACTGATCCACCAGCACTAGATTTAGCACAGAGGTGGGCAAACTATGGCCTGTGGGACACATCCAGCCCACAGGACCCTCCTGCCCGGCCCCTGAGCTCCTGGCCTGGAAGGCTAGCCCCGCCCCTGCTGTTCCACTCTCCCACAGCCTCAGCTCTCTGTGCCACAAGCACAATGCACTGGGCGACAGGGATGCAAGCTCTTGCTGGGCAATGCAGCTGAAGAGCTGCAGCCCAACCCAGCGCTCTGGGCTGCGCGGTGGTGTGGCTGGCTCCAGCCAGGCAGCACAGCCGCCTGTCCTGGTGCTCTGTAGCGCCACCAGCCACCGGTGCTCCAGGCAGCGCAGTAAGGAGGCAGGGAGCAGGGGGGGTTGGATAGAGGGCAGGGGAGTTTGGAATGGTGGGCAGGGGGCAGGGGTGTGGATAGGGGGCGGGGCGGTCAGAGGCCAAGGAACAGGGGGGTTGAATGGGGGTAGGGCCCCAGGGGGGCAGTCAGGAAAGAGATGGGGGGTTGGATGGGGCAGTCAGGGGCAGGGGTTCAGCCTCCCCTAACCAGCTCCATACAATTTCGGAAACTCGATATGACCCTCAGGCCAAAAAGTTTGCCTGCCCCTGATTTAGTGGGTCTAGTAAAGACCTGCCAAATTGACAGCAGATCACTCTCCAGTCGACCTCTGTACTTCACCCTTGACGAGAAGAGTAAGAATCATAGAATATTAAGGTTGGAAGGGACCTCAGGA